TTGAGGTTGTCCATGCTGATTCTCCTCTGAAAAGGAGTTGATCAGATGTGGCCTGTTTAAGGCATGGAATGGGGGGTCGGCTCTGTCTGTTTCTTGTAAGACCAAGCCTATCGAAGACATGGGCCTGTCTCCTTGGCGCGTTAGCCCTGTTGTCTTCTAATGGAACGGCAGTCTCCTGAATTATTCGACCGATGTCATAGTTGGCAACCATGTCCACATTCGCACCTCTTCCTAGGGGAATGACTTCATCGTTTTGTGAAGATTTGGCTAGTTGACCTTGCATGAGTTCTAGCAGTTTACGCATTCCAACGTTTTGTCGGGAGATGGTTCTCATGTTTGCGATGATAGCGGCCATCTCTCTAGTGAGCCTTGCTGTTAGCCTGGGCCTGCTCTTCGAGCCACTTCTTTGGTAGCGAACCGCAGGGGTGATTGGCAACGGCTCCTGGATTATTGGGGTACTTTGTGAGGATGTCTCTTTGCTAACGAGTTCTTTGGCCTATCTAGGTGCGGTATCTTTCTTCTTCGGACTCATGACTGTTCCTTCTTGGTAGACAGCCCTTCTCTGGCTCTATTTCAGGAGTCATTTTCCTTTATTCAACGTTTTTCCCTTTTATTCAAAGGTTCTTCTCCTTGACTTTTTCTGAAAATTCAGGTATTCTCTTTCTATGTGGGATTTTCGTAGTTTAGCTGTTCCAAGTTTTTCACAAACGACGCCAATCTGTTGACCTTAAAAAATGGCCAATAGGTGTTGCTGAAGGACAATGTGAACGTGGGTGTGCTTTTAATGCGTTAACTGTAAAATAGATATTGTTGTGAGAGAAGATAAATATTAGGCAATGTAAGTATTATATTCCCCTCGTATTTTTTCAAGATCTTTCAATTGATACAAGCATTGACCATTTATAGTGACTGAGCCGACGTGATCACCGTTGGATTGAATCCATGTGGCCTAATCTGTCGACCCTAATTGTTACATCAACTCTATTATATATTAATTATATTGATAGACTTTTGACAAGAGGTCAGGCACTTTATAAATTAGGCTGACATTCCTGACTCTCTTCAACTGCGTACATTACATCAGTCAACTCTGAAGACATGCGTGTCCGACCCTCTTTCGGTTGTAAAGGACTTCCGATAGTAGAGGGTGAATCACTTCGGCAGAACTTTGTGCAACAACCTCGGCACTTTATATGATAGCTTGGGACATTAGTCCCTTCTGCACCAATTCTTGGGTGTTTACCATGTGTGTGAATTTGAGGTCTCCACGTGGACCTTTCTATTTTGATTAGTAACATGATCCATAGTTTGGTTCTTGTGTTACTAATTCCTTTGTTGCTTTTGTAACATTTGGGTATTTAATTTTGGATTTACAAATCCCAAGTTAGGCTTCGTATGAGATACGTTCAGAATTAGAATTATAAGGAAAGAAATCGGATGGCAATTTTAATTTATTGCTAAATTTGTGGTGATATTGTTTAATGAAGTTGCCGTAATTTCCCAAAAACTACTCATGAAAAATAAAAAAATGTTGCCGCCGTTTGCATCAACTTAGCATCCATCGCAGTCCAAACACTTATTCTAATCTAATTAAAATAAGAGAGAAAAACAAACAAAAAGCTAAAGAATTAAAAAACCAACCCCAACCCATGTCCCACTGCCCTCACACGCGCCAATCTCATCCTCTCCAAACTTCACACCAGCTCAACCCCACCGGCCAGTCAAACTTCCGCTGCGCGACTATGAGACATTATTACAGAATGCAATTCAAATAAAAAACAGCCATTTATGATAAAAAATTAAAAAGAGTAATGCTATGTAACTCCACTGAACTTGTAATTTTAGTCTAGTTTGTGCTAGATCATAGGTTAAATGAAATGTGAAAATTAAATGAGTTATTTATTAATTCTACCTATCATTTAATGTCACATTAAAGTCGCATAAATTGCAGTTACAAATTTAGTTGGACTAAATAACATTACTCAGAAAAAAATGGTGGGTGTGTTGCCATTGTTCTCTCAATCAAAAACTCAATTTGTGGGTTGTGCTTTTTGTGTGTGAGAGCGATTTAGTGATTCATTGATTTGATGCAAGAGAAATTTAGAACTTCATATTAATCTTGTATATCGTCAATTTTTTTAAAGTTATACGTTCAAGTGATTTAGTAACTCATTGTTTTGATGCAAGAGGACTTCTTACTAATGCTGTACATTGTAATTTTTTTTAAAAACCCATTTGTCGTTAAGTTGAAGTATAAGAAAATAATGTTTTATATAGACCTTTTTCGCACAATGTGTGAAATTCAGAGACCACCAATGAACTTTTCATCTTCTTAATCTTTATTTGTCAAAATAACAATGAACCATGTAGATAGGAAAGAAAGAAATATATAATTAGAGGCTGAAAGTTCGGCAAGCCCTTTATAGCTCACTTGAGCTGATTCGGCTTGCGCTTGAGGCAAGTTGCGAGCATGAGCCGAGTAGTAAAACATTAAAGGCTTGCAAGCCGCTCATGTTTTTTGAATAAAATTCCTAAAAAAATTGGCAAGTAGTTCGCAAGTTGGCTCGATTCGCCCAACAGAGGGACGAACTCGTGGGACAAGTCCAGTCATATTTTGATAAAGCGAGCCTAGTCACGTAGTGGACCGAGTCGAGCCTAGCGATATACGAGCTCAACAGCTCAGGTCGATTCATTTAACATTCCTACATAGAATGAAGATAGGTTGGCCGGCAAGCAAGAGGAGGCCATGAGGGACCTACACATTACTTTTTCCTCATGTGCAAAGGCCAACCTATATGAATTTTCAACTCAAAGCCCACAATATCCTACGCCCACACCGCCCACCCCAAAAAATAAAAGGAAAATGTGGTTTCAATTCTTTCATAATAAAAACCTGAATAGCCATCTCATTACATAAAAAGGTTGGTGAATGGGGATTGGAGAGAAGAATTAGCTTTCCAGGTGTTCCAGTGAGAGGGAAAACTTTTCAGCATTTCTAAAATGCTCCAACACTGCAGCCTTCTCTGTTTCCCTGTCTTTACAACCACAATCCCCATGTGATCCCTTTTATATCATTCTAGGATTCACCTTTATAAGTTAGAATCGACTGAACGAATTATTTTCTACCACCATGTTCGATCATTGCTAAATCTATAGGAAGCTTGGTTCTAAAATTCTTGTAGCAAACCAAGAAAGAGCGATTTCTCGCAAATATACCATGTTGCAAACCTTCCTTGGAGATTGGAAATTTCAGAAAGAATAGAGCTGTGTCAGTATTATTCTTGTACATTTTTAACTGTAAAATCCAAAACCCACTGGTATGTTCTAATGGGTTTTACTAGGAAAACAGGGAGGCGGTCCGAACCCCACAAATTGGGGGGGTGGGGGGGGATCCTGTCAGGGAGGCGGTCAGCCTCCCTGTTACAGGAGCAAAACCCATGCTCTAATAGGAGCAGAAAAAGTAATGAAAACTACGAATTGAATTGATGTCAAATTTTGCAGAGAAATATGAAACTGTGTATTTACAGTAGAATGATATTATCACACAGAAAGTAAATCTGAACAGTGAAAATGGCATTTAATTTACTTTAATCATTGATAAAAGAGAAAGTTAAGGTGACAACTAATCCTAATTAAAGAAGCTTACTTTGAACTATATTGCTGTACCATCGGAGCTAGCATTACAAACTGTTGCTTTTGTCATGCACATCATAATTAGCAATGCAATGACCACACCATTGCTACCCAACAGGTCCACTGATTAGCAGGCTGCAATAATATAAGCATTTAATTAAAAACTATGAATCCCTCCTCTTGCTTACCTAATTGGCAAACCAGTTGGACCACTAAAAAGAGAGATTTTTCTAAGCTAATTCACTTGTCTTTTAATGAATGAATTTTACACGTGTACATATAGTCCAAAACTACCAAGCTAGTGTATGATAGGCGCAAGAGGAATTTTCAGTGGATTGATATAATGCATAGATTGATATAATGCATAGATGGCAAGAACACTTTGACGGACCGACATTAACATTGAGAGACAAAAGATAAGAGAGTAGGGATTCATTAGTTGAGGGGGTTTGGGCAAACCACAAACTGCCATTATTTCTCTCCAACAAAGAATTATATCCTTATATATCTTACCACGATTCAATTGCTACATCGCTCTATTGACGCCTAGCAAGATCTTCATGAAACTTGAAAAAATAGACAAGAAAATAGTATTCATTCCTAGGAAATCAATAACAAATGAGCATAACACCGACACTAGACAAAAGCTACAGGTGTGAATGAGATTAGATACTCAATAGTCATAAACGTAAAATTCCAGCTCAGATATAGGAATTTTCCCAAGAAGCAATTCTATTATGTAGGGGATTCTTTGTTGCCAAGTCAACATCCTATGTGGACTCAGAAAAGCAAAGTTGACAAGAGGTGGGGGAGGAGAGGTAAGGGGTGCTACTTTGCCTTTTTCTTTTGTGTTTGCACCACCATAATTACTTCTGCTTTCGGTTTGCCTTAATACATTCTTTTTCAATATTTTTTTCCTATTCTTTTATTTCTACATTCCACCACCATCATTTCTTAAGAACATTACTATCTTTCTGAATCTCTCTATTCTCCCTCCGTCAAAAATAAGTCCCTTCTCATTCTGAGTTCAATGATCATATAGCCTTCAACAATGGTAAGTTCCTGATAGTTGGGAGTTAATATTACCCCATTATAATATACTTTTGGAGCATTTTTCATCACAAAAGAACAGTCTAATACTTGTTCAATGATCCAGGGAACTCCCATTAACATTATCGTTGGATCGCATGTCTGGGCTGAAGATCCTGAATTTGCTTGGATTGATGGTGAAGTTACAGAGATCAAAGGCACAGATGCCACCATAGTTACATCAAATGGGAAGACTGTAAGCCAACCTCACGTCCCAATTCTTTCTTTCTTTCAATTAGATGAAAATTTCAATACTAATTTTCTCTCATTTATAAAGCATTAGTGGTAATTGTGGCAGGGTGTTTTAGAGGCCATAAGGATAAGCTGTGCTGGATATCCAACTAAAAGATCGTTCGATGAGTTCATAGACCGTTTTGGAATGCTAGCTCCAGATGTTTTGGATGGGTACGTAATGGAATACTTCACTTCCTTTTAGCTTAAATATATGCTCTGTGCAGGATGAAAAATAATCATGGTCCTAAAGAGCAGGTTCGTTAGTATTATCCTACCAAGCTCAAAAACAATCAATACTAGCCAATTCCATAAGCTAAACCACTTTAAACACATTTTTTAAATGTAAACCAGGCATTCATCTTCATCTACTCAAGTTCTAAGAAATAACATCCTCAGGGGAGGTGGTGTCTTGAGTTCTCAGTGGTTTACATTCGAGAAATTTCCTCATATTTTTATTTCTTGCTGAGGTGCAGATCCGATGAGAAATCAGCATGTATTGCAATCTGTAACAAAATGAACTTAAAGGGCTATCAGGTAATAAACCTATATCAGAATAGTTATATATATGTAAAGTTGAATATTTTCTTTGAAGTTCCTTAAAAGATTTGACAAAGAGTGATAGTCTGATGTTGCCACTTTTCTGTACTTCAGATTGGGAAAACAAAGGTATTTCTTAGAGCAGGGCAGATGGCTGAATTAGATACTCGAAGAGCTGAGGTTTTGGCTCGTGCTGCAAAGCGTATTCAGAGGCAAATCCGGACATACCTAACCCGAAAAGAGTACATTATCCTGCGAAAGGCTACCATCCATATCCAGAAACTATGGAGAGGTAACCCTTTTTTAAGTCAAAAAAGTATGTGAGCTCATGAATTGTTCATAGAAATTAAAATTTTCACCTTTCAGTATTGGAACTATCACAGGCCCAATTGTAACTATATAATTAGAATTCAGTGACCAGTTTCATCGCCATTTTCTGGTAATATGTGTAATAACCTTTTCTTTATGGTAATTACCCAGCACAAATTGCACGCAAGCTGTATGAACACATGAGACAAGAAGCTGCTTCAATCCGTATACAGAAACATGCACGCGCACATGCAGCAAGAAAGTCTTACACCAAATCACGGGAAGCAGCAACTGTAATTCAAACAGGGATGAGAACAATGTCAGCCCGAAATGAGTACAGGTGGAGACGACAAAACAAAGCAGCAACTATAATTCAGGTAGTGTACATGCACAGGTTAAAAAATCCTGTTTTGTTTATTCCTACGGGGAAACACAATGACGATAAATAGAACAATTGCATTGGTGCGAGAGAGTATTAAATGAACTTTTTTGGAATGTGATAAACTTCATAATAGTGACAGGCAACTAAGAAACCTTGCAATTGAATTTGGGAGCATAGAAAATTCTATTTAGTAATTGATTTCTAGTTAAATAACCTAAATCATGTATAACAGATGTAAGAAGAATCCTCTCTTTCCTTCCTGCACGTTCTTTTTCTTTTTCTTTTTTTGTTCTGTTTTGCAAGGGGTGGGAAGTTGGGAAAGAGGGAAATAAGAGTGGTGCTTTCTTTATTTCTCAGATTGAATAAACTTAACTATTGAAAGCATTCTTGCAAGTCGTTATGCGATATATAAAAATGCAGACCATTGCTGAACAAATAAATAGCATATGTCTTGTCCTTCAAATTAAATATTCTAATTATTTTGGTTTTTTCCAGACTGAATGGAGAAGATTCCATGCTCTTTCTGTGCATAATCGGGTGAAAAAGGCAAATATTACACTTCAATGCCTTTGGCGTGCTAGGATTGCAAGGAAGGAGCTTAGAAAATTGAGGATGGTTAGTTTATCTTCTTGATAGAATAAAACTTGGTACCAACTGCTAATAAATTGAATGAAAGGTAATCTATAGTGGTTAATCTCGTAATGCAGGCAGCAAGGGAAACAGGAGCACTCAAGGAAGCAAAGGACAAGCTGGAAAAGCGTGTTGAAGAACTTTCATGGAGACTAGATTTTGAGAAGCGCTTAAGGGTAAACTACCAGTGCAAGACTAGCAGCTAGAAGTATATGCAGAAATACAGTGATAATCTTGAATCGTGACCATTGATTCTATTAGTTTAGTTCCTGATGCATGTGAGAAGACGGTTATGGTATAAACCAGAATCAGGACTAAGGTTAACGGACCCTTAGCAATTGATCATCCATAAATTTGAAATCTTCAATGGTAGCTGATATTAGATTGTAACAGATGTGGAAACTGAAAATTCCAACTTCCATCAACCTTTTCATTTACTAATAAAGTGTCTAGATATCTAATTAGCTTATGATAAGATGCAAGGAGGTAGTGACTCTGTAGCGTATAAATGCACATTAAACACAAATATAGTACTAAATGATAAGGCTTAATGCAGTCCATTTGTACATCAGCTAAAACAATAATATGTAAAGTATAATGCTATTCCAATCTCCTAATTTTCTCTCATTTATAAAGCATTAGTGGTAATTGTGGCAGGGTGTTTTAGAGGCCATAAGGATAAGCTGTGCTGGATATCCAACTAAAAGATCGTTCGATGAGTTCATAGACCGTTTTGGAATGCTAGCTCCAGATGTTTTGGATGGGTACGTAATGGAATACTTCACGTCCTTTTAGCTTAAATATATGCTCTGTGCAGGATGAAAAATAATCATGGTCCTAAAGAGCAGGTTCGTTAGTATTATCCTACCAAGCTCAAAAACAATCAATACTAGCCAATTCCATAAGCTAAACCACTTTAAACACATTTTTTAAATGTAAACCAGGCATTCATCTTCATCTACTCAAGTTCTAAGAAATAACATCCTCAGGGGAGGTGGTGTCTTGAGTTCTCAGTGGTTTACATTCGAGAAATTTCCTCATTTTTTTATTACTTGCTGAGGTGCAGATCCGATGAGAAATCAGCATGTATTGCAATCTGTAACAAAATGAACTTAAAGGGCTATCAGGTAATAAACCTATATCAGAATAGTTATATATATGTAAAGTTGAATATTTTCTTTGAAGTTCCTTAAAAGATTTGACAAAGAGTGATAGTCTGATGTTGCCACTTTTCTGTACTTCAGATTGGGAAAACAAAGGTATTTCTTAGAGCAGGGCAGATGGCTGAATTAGATGCTCGAAGAGCTGAGGTTTTGGCTCGTGCTGCAAAGCGTATTCAGAGGCAAATCCGGACATACCTAACCCGAAAAGAGTACATTATCCTGCGAAAGGCTACCATCCATATCCAGAAACTATGGAGAGGTAACCTTTTTTTAAGTCAAAAAAGTATGTGAGCTCATGAATTGTTCATAGAAATTAAAATTTTCACCTTTCAGTATTGGAACTATCACAGGCCCAATTGTAACTATATAATTAGAATTCAGTGACCAGTTTCATCGCCATTTTCTGGTAATATGTGTAATAACCTTTTCTTTATGGTAATTACCCAGCACAAATTGCACGCAAGCTGTATGAACACATGAGACAAGAAGCTGCTTCAATCCGTATACAGAAACATGCACGCGCACATGCAGCAAGAAAGTCTTACACCAAATCACGGGAAGCAGCAACTGTAATTCAAACAGGGATGAGAACAATGTCAGCCCGAAATGAGTACAGGTGGAGACGACAAAACAAAGCAGCAACTATAATTCAGGTAGTGTACATGCACAGGTTAAAAAATCCTGTTTTGTTTATTCCTACGGGGAAACACAATGACGATAAATAGAACAATTGCATTGGTGCGAGAGAGTATTAAATGAACTTTTTTGGAATGTGATAAACTTCATAATAGTGACAGGCAACTAAGAAACCTTGCAATTGAATTTGGGAGCATAGAAAATTCTATTTAGTAATTGATTTCTAGTTAAATAACCTAAATCATGTATAACAGATGTAAGAAGAATCCTCTCTTTCCTTCCTGCACGTTCTTTTTCTTTTTTTGTTCTGTTTTGCAAGGGGTGGGAAGTTGGGAAAGAGGGAAATAAGAGTGGTGCTTTCTTTATTTCTCAGATTGAATAAACTTAACTATTGAAAGCATTCTTGCAAGTCGTTATGCGATATATAAAAATGCAGACCATTGCTGAACAAATAAATAGCATATGTCTTGTCCTTCAAATTAAATATTCTAATTATTTTGGTTTTTTCCAGACTGAATGGAGAAGATTCCATGCTCTTTCTGTGCATAATCGGGTGAAAAAGGCAAATATTACACTTCAATGCCTTTGGCGTGCTAGGATTGCAAGGAAGGAGCTTAGAAAATTGAGGATGGTTAGTTTATCTTCTTGATAGAATAAAACTTGGTACCAACTGCTAATAAATTGAATGAAAGGTAATCTATAGTGGTTAATCTCGTAATGCAGGCAGCAAGGGAAACAGGAGCACTCAAGGAAGCAAAGGACAAGCTGGAAAAGCGTGTTGAAGAACTTTCATGGAGACTAGATTTTGAGAAGCGCTTAAGGGTAAACTACCAGTGCAAGACTAGCAGCTAGAAGTATATGCAGAAATACAGTGATAATCTTGAATCGTGACCATTGATTCTATTAGTTTAGTTCCTGATGCATGTGAGAAGACGGTTATGGTATAAACCAGAATCAGGACTAAGGTTAACGGACCCTTAGCAATTGATCATCCATAAATTTGAAATCTTCAATGGTAGCTGATATTAGATTGTAACAGATGTGGAAACTGAAAATTCCAACTTCCATCAACCTTTTCATTTACTAATAAAGTGTCTAGATATCTAATTAGCTTATGATAAGATGCAAGGAGGTAGTGACTCTGTAGCGTATAAATGCACATTAAACACAAATATAGTACTAAATGATAAGGCTTAATGCAGTCCATTTGTACATCAGCTAAAACAATAATAATCTTGCAGATTGATACTGAAGAAGCAAAGAGCCAGGAAATAGCAAAGTTTCAGACTGCTTTAGAAGAAATGCAAGCAAAACTGGATGAAGCACATGCTGCAATCATTCATGAAAAAGAGGCGGCAAAGACAGCCATTGAACAAGCCCCACCAATCATCAAAGAGGTACCTGTAGTGGACGACACAAAGGTGGAACTATTGACAAATCAAAATCATGAACTTGAGGTAATGTCAAGATACTTAATTTCACATCTTATAAGAATCCATACAATTTTTATCTTTTAGGAAGCCATGTTTGATATCTGGAGTGACAAGCAAAATGCATTAATGCACTCGATACAGGATTCCACTTACAGTCTTTCCAAGCATTGAAAATATAACTTCGAGAAGGATACAGATAAAAAATTATTCAATTTCGGAGTTCGAATATTTTGGAGCGTTCAGCACTATAATGAGAGAGTGCTATATCTCGGACAAAAGATGATGATAAAACATATTCTTTATTATCTGACATATAACCATGAAAACTAAGACAGGCAAAGTCGGCTTGAATAAAGATTAACTATAATGAGTTTGGAAACCTCCCACTTAAAGACAGATGATCATACAACTGTACTAGAGGAATATAGAAACTGGCATCCATCACAGTTATAGGCACATGCCTAATCCATAGTTCAACAATGCAGGAAGAGATAAGAGAACTAAAGAAGCGGGTAGTGGAATTTGAGCAAAGTTATTCTGAGGCTGAAAAGGAAAGCAAAACCAGACTTCAAGAAGCAGAAGAAGCACAGATGAAAGTTTCACAACTTCAGGAGACCATCGAGAGGTATTTGATTTCAAAGGTTCATATATTTGATATTTGTGTGGTCTACATCATTATGAGTATATTTTCTTAATGTTTCCAGATTAGAAATGAATGTATCCAACCTTGAATCTGAGAATCAGGTTCTGCGTCAGCAGGCTTTGGCTGCATCAACTACAGAGGACTCCACTGAGGAAATGGAAATGTAAGAATGTGAAAGAAAGAAATAAAGAATGACTTCACATACTTAAAAGTTCTAATTGCATTACCAAAAACACTTGAAAAACATTTGGTGGAAGGTCATACACTGGCTTTTAGCAGACCTTGAAACATTTAAATTCACTAGTTCTGAGTAGGAACTTGTATTCATCATGATCAATGGGGACTGCATAAAACTTGTCCATTTTACTGATAATTAAGCAATTGCTCATGGACCAGATACCATCAGCTCACTCCTAGACTATATCAGATAGGCAAACGTAATTAAATTAAAAGAAAAGACCAAAACATATTTCAGTTTTTAAACAAAATCTATAGAAACAGTGCGAAGAAATTAACTCAGAGATCATCTGGATCGTATCTTCAAGGAAGCAGTCCAAAGTAGAAATCTGAATCATTTTCATACCTGTGTCAGACTTAGGAGCAAGATCAGAGATTTGGAGTCAGAAAACGAGTTACTTCAAAGTCAAAACATAGTTGTGGAGCAAATAGTGGGTCCTGTTCATCATATATCCCAACTGGACAAGGTACATTAGGTTTTCCTATACTATGAATTAAATAATTGCTAAAGCTGCATGCAGTTATTCACTAGCCTGATGTAAAATGCAGAGTTTCGACAATGGACATAAAAACGATAGCAGTGTTCAAATAGTGCAAGAGCCTCAAACTACACAGGCAAAGGAACATATAACTGAAGTACAATAAACTTTTCCTACAATAATTTTTCAGAGAGAGGAAAATTGCAGACAACTTTTTAACTGTTGGGTTTTCAGTTAGAATGAAAAGTGAATTTTTCGTGCAGGATTCTTTGCCTCCTGTAACAGTCCTCACTAAACAAAGATCCTTAGCAGATAGGCAGCAGGTATTAGATGGAAACTAAGCCTTTTTGTCACACATGACAAATAGACAGAGCTAGAGAGTAGACTAAACACATTTTTGTACATCCTCTTGTATTTACAGGAAAACTATGATGTACTAATCAAATGTCTCCTCGAAGACAAGCAATTTGACAAGGGCAGACCTGTTGCTGCTTGCATTGTGTACAAAACACTCGTTCAATGGAGATCCTTTGAAGCAGACAAGACACATATATTTGATAGGGTTGTTCATGCTATCCAATCATCAATAGAGGTAATAGATTTCACTAAGGCGAGAAACTTAATGTGATGTGAGTTCCATTAACAGCCACCACTGCTTTTTATGAATATGCATATGGCATAGATTTACTATGAAAGAGTACATAAAACTGCATGTCCATGCAGAATCAGGATGGTGCTAAGGATCTAGCATATTGGCTGTCAACAACGTCTACTCTTTTATTTCTTCTGCAACGAACAATCAAAGCAAGCAATACATCAATGGTAGCTTCCAAAAGGAACCGAAGTTCGCCCACCACCTTGTTTGGCAGAATGGTGCAGGTAAGATTTTCCCATTTAAATTAACTGTCACCTGTGAAAAATGACAAGGCAAGGGTTCATTTGCAGGGTTCCCGACATTTTTCAATGAACATGGGAATTTCTAGTGGATACAGCGGGATGGATGGAAACCTTAACCCAAAATCAAGGATAGAAGCTAAATACCCTGCCTTGCTGTTTAAACAACATCTAGCTGCCTGTGTTGAGAAAATATATGGAATGATCCGTGACAGCTTAAAGAAAGAGATCAGTCCATTTCTTAACTTGTGCATACAAGTAAGCACCTCATCCATGCTAAAACCATTTAACCTAGTATCTTTCACCAATAGCCAACTATATCTCGTTATGCCATGAACAGGCACCAAGAGCCGCAAGGATCAGACCATTACGAGGGTCGTCTAAAAATATACATTCACATATCATATTAAAACAACAGGGATCTAGTATACACTGGAAAAATATTGTCAACAGCTTGGATCATGCCATGGGAATACTGTCAGAAAATTATGTAAGCAGAACTACTGTTTTCTATCTACTTTCCCTTAGCATAAATGAATGAACCAAAATAGTTCGAAATGCTAATAAATCTGTTTTTAGGTCCCTTCCACTATTACAAGGAAAATCTTCAGCCAGGTATTCTCATTCATAAATGTTCAGCTTTTCAACAGGTATGAAATTCTTCGAACTTCTACTCTAACCAACACAAATAGATTTTGAAACTAGAAATATTCACTTTTATAAGCACTTTAAATGTCCAACAATAAATTTGCATCTGTTCTCAGCTTACTGCTCCGTCGTGAATGCTGCTCATTTAGCAATGGAGAGTACGTAAAGGCTGGTTTGCAAGAAATAGAGCACTGGTGTACAAAAGCTACAGATCAGGTAAAATATCCATGAGAAGCTATTGGCAGACTAATTTAGACCAGTTCAACAAATTAATAAATGACTTTTACTTCATTCTGTTACCATACAGTTTGCTGGATCTTCCTGGGATGAACTCCAACACATAAGACAAGCTGTAGCTTTTCTGGTATAAGTCTTAATCAAACAGAATTCATCTTCTAAGAAAATTGGAATGTCTTGGAACTGATTAAACCCTGGTTCAACTTTCACAGGTTCTGCACCAGAAAGCTCAAAAGTCATTGGATGAGATCACAAATGAACTCTGCCCGGTAAATTGACTTCATAAGTTGCTTTACTCTCAAGCTAAAAACATTAAAATGACCATATTTCTTTTAATAAATAAAGGTGTAATATTCATAAAAGTAACTCTTGTATTCCTTTTTTTTTTTTGATTAGGTGTTGAGCATCCCACAAATATATCGAATAGGAACCATGTTTTGGGATGACAAATATGGAGCCCAAGGATTATCTCCAGAAGTAAGGCTCTCCTTAAGCTCATTATTGCCATGATTTATCTGTCCTTTTGTGATAGAAAGTGAAGGTTTAAGAAACTTACTGCTTAAATAGAATAAAATTTTCCAAACATGTATATGTAATTTAAAATAGAGTACACCAGCCCCTTCAAATATAAACCATTCAAAATAAAGCTCCCATGAATGAAATTTACACTTTTTAACAAGTCAAAAAACACTAAAAACCCAACATAATCAAAATCAAGAGATATCAAATATGCAATGAGTCCACGGGATACATTTCATGACCCATTTTGTCAGTTTAGACATTCATTTTTTTTTGGGATATATGCATTTTTCTTCCACCTTTTCTTCCATTTTTGAGGTTTTTTTCCATTTCTTAGTAAGTGAAAGAAAATAGTTCTTTTTCATCCAACTATCTCATTTTTTTCCTCTGGAATAATGAATATATTTTAAATGTCAACATAACTATCGTAGTTAACCCTTCATTAATTATTTTTTATCAATTTTTTCCTCTGACCAGTGTCATGATATCCTTTTTTCTTATTTTTGATGAGCAATAGACACCCATAAGTTAAATTATTTGAAAAGTATATGCCCATTTAGAGAAAACGTATGGTTCTGTAATATTAAGTCATTTTGACAGATTACTCCTAACCCTCATTGTCAATTTGTACTTCAGATAATTGCAAAGATGAAATCATTGACCTTAGAAGATTCAATTAATACGCCAAACAACACATTCTTGCTTGATGTGGATTCAAGGTAATCAAACTTTACAGTCATAACAGTAGATCATGAATATAAAAGGCGAAGCTCTTACTCACTCATTTGCCAAATTACAGTATACCTTTCTCTATTGAAGAGATATCACAGTCCTTTCAAGATATCAATGTGTCTGATGTGGATCCTCCTCCCCTTCTTCGTCAGAGATCAGATTTCCATTTCCTGTTGCAGACAACAGAATGAGAATATTTTACTTCTCCAATTTTGGCTTTATTTAAAGAAAAAGGTTTAGGTGCAAGTTGTAACCATTTCTTGATTGCAGTAGCCATTTTGTTCCTTTGGGGTGGTGGGAGAGTGAGTGATTCAGAATGTAAATGTTCTTTGTTTAGTTTGATTTTTAATTATTTGTTTCCCACATTTCAGCAAAGCAATTGTTTGTAATCATAAGTGCTCTTCAGATTGGGGCTTTAACAAAATGATGATGTACACGCACTTATCAAAATTTTCAGTAGGAACAGAAAGAATTTGTAGTGAATCCACATTATCCATATACCCCTTTACAGTTTTGCTCTTACTGGTCGATTCAAATCAGGACCCTGGATCTTACTTCAAAGATTCCAGGGAAAAGAAGAAACAAACAATTTTCTAATAGCATAAAATGAACAAGTCTAGCAATAAAATAATCTTGTCCATCACTCAGCCATAAAATTGCTAAACTAGGATTTCTTTCTCCATGTTAGAAATTTTGGGCTGCGAATAGTACATGTGAGGTGACCCGACCCACAAAGTATTAAAAGGGTTGTAGCGAGTGGTTTGAACTTAAAATTCAAATCTATAACTCCCTATAATCACCTAACTCCTATACAATCTCCAAGTTTTAGTCTAACATTTTGGGAGAGAAAAGATGGGAGAAAATAAGTGAAATTCGTAGGGAAATCACTCAAAAATAGAAAAGTGCATAGAATCACGTGTATGACATGAAAACCCGCGAAATTAAGCACTTAAATTGTAGATAATAATCTTCTTCCATTGTAATCGAGATTGAGACTATTCAAGAATAGGAAATGCAGATTTTGGAGGTTTCGAATGCAATGTGACTCGACTACTTAAAAGATCTTTGAATTCATTATTTCAAGTAAGTTTCTTGACCCAAAATTCATGTAAAAGAATGTTGCAGATTCTTACATTGGTATTATAGCCGTAAAAATTGTTTCCCTTGCATACTATTTTGTTGTAAATGGAATTATTATGTTGAAAAATGCATGTATGCCATTTTTGTTGAAACTTGAAGCATTGTTGATGGCATGTCATAAAATATACAACATAAATTCACAAAAATTTTATAGCATATTCTTTATATGATGTAGATCTTATTTGAAAAGTTTCAAAATTTTTGGTTTTTATAATTTTGGAGAAAAACGAAATCTTAGATAAAATTGCAGAAATTTTAAATATTTACTACCATCTGTTCATTCATCTTCATGCAGTAAGATTAGTATGGTTAGAAAGGTCTTTTCATAAGTTTTCCAACCATATAAAGAACATAAATTTTGAACTTGAAACAAAGAAGTTAGAGGTTTTGAAATTTGAAAGATAATTTAAATTTATGGCATAAAATTTGATGAAAGCCTGAATTTCATCACATGATAACTTTTTATACATTAAGTTTCATGCTGTTCATTTGAATGGTTGGATTGATCTTCTTAAGACCTTTCCAATGATATAAAGGTCATTGATTTTGGGCATGAAATGAAAAAGTTATGCCTCCTGAAGTTTGGATGAGAATCTGATTTTTTGTACGAAAATTGGTTAAATTAGAAATTTCATCACATGATAATTTCTTCTACACTACATTTTATGATTCTCATTTAGTATGGTTGGATAGATCTTTTCGAAACCTTTTCAATGGTATAAAAATCGTTAATTTTGGCCTTGAAATGAAGACTTTATGGTCTCACGAAATTCGATAAAAAAATCTAAAAGTTTTGCATGATTTTTTTTTGTCATTTTTCACTCTTGTATAGACTTGTTGATATCCCAAATATGGCCATAAAAGTTGATTTTTAAAATCTGACAACACAAAGGAACTCAGAATGTCGAAACTAGTTAAGATGACCAATCGATGAAATTTTTGAGTATGACGTGGTGGTGCTGACCCAGCCCCAATTTTTTATTATTACTTTAAAAAAATGATTACAGATTGGTACCATATGTGAGGATGTATGCAAGACCTGACTTCAATTCTAAAAGTTGTATGTTAGTCTCTGAATTATTCTTGATTTTTTAGTGTAAACAAATTAATTTTTGGATAGTTAAAAAATATTTTTTTTTTTTTTGTATTTGGTGCTTAAAATAAATTTGTAAAAGCATTAAAAATATTTTTTAAACTTGATTCAATTATGATTTTTTTTTAAATCAAGAATATTTGTTAAGTAGTATTTGTCTAGTGGGAGTTATTTTTTGAAGTGTTCTATTTTTTTTTGGAAATGAAAATTACCCTAAAATATTTAAAATGCCACATTTAATATACGTTCCTGAGTTGTGTGGGTCTTGATTAGGTTATGTAATCCATTGTGACTTGTTTTCAGTTTTTGTGCTTGATCAAATATTATTGGATCTATGTACTCTTTGCCCACGTTTGGCCCCCATTCTTGCCAAATTATAATGCTTGGAATAATTTTTTTTTTTGAAAAATGCGTGGTTGAAAAAGAATGAAAAGTTTTTAATTTACGTATAATATTATTTTATGGAAGATTGTGTGATTGAAAATAAGAGAGAAAAAGAATAAGAATGAGAATGAGAGCCAAACGGGGCTTTATATCCTTAGAGGAAAGGCTAGAGAAACAAGGCTATGGAACTTGTTGAAAAGTTACATGTTTACTAAAATTAATAAATGGATCTAGAACATAACCCAGTAGGATACGTGAATGTTTTTGGGATATTTTTTGTGATAAGCAGAATATGAGAATTTTGATATCACTTTCCATTTGTTGGGATTGTATCGCAACAAATATTAAAGCATGATTGACAATCATGATATATGTCACAATTGCATATTATTGAATTACATTATTGGATAAGTGTGCATACTTATGCCTTTATTACACATTATGGAATTACATTATTGAATTAGATGATATCCATTAATTCATGTATTGTTATAAATGCTAAAGTCAGTAAAATTAGTGAGATTCTTACTTAGACCTGTTGATTGTTAGATGAGTGATAGTTCGGTGATTGGAAGATTTAGAGAAAATCTCACCTATAATTATTTAATTCACGAATTGAGTGGGAGTTATCAAGTTGAAAGAATTAATGCAATTCTCACTTAGAACCCATCGAATTTTGCGTTGTGAAATTAACTTTATGATAGTGAAATAATAGGATTGTAGAAGATTATTGGGAACATAGTAAATTTTCGACTCTGTGCCTATCTTTTAACTATCGTAGACTTTAATTTGCATTAGTGCAAAATTAAATATGTGCATAAATGAGCATTGATTGAAAATAAAATGTCTTGAAAAATCTGATAGATCACGGCATCAAAATCTATAGTAATTAACCTTGATAAATGTGATAAGTTAAATGCGATAACATTTGACATGATAAAATTTTAAGTGTACTAGAAGAACGCGATGCTTTGGAAAGCATCAACCACGCAATAGTAGACTTGATGTGGGCCATACAACTCTAAAGAATAAAGATCAGAACTTTATCAAGTATAGAAAAAGATAGATTCTAGTGCCTGAGCTTTATAATTGTTAAATTGTGTTATAGATGATCTTGTTTTTATTGTGACTTAGTTGAGATGGTTAATACAGTGTTGACATTTTTGTTGGTTACATTTTTTTTAAACGAGTAGTAAGTTCAAATTAGTCTCTTTACAATAGATGAAAATTTTCAAGGTCAATGTGACTTACAAATTGAAGTGTCAAGTTTCTCTATTGACACAACCTGCTGTGTGAGTTAAAGACATGCGACTTGATGTTGCTAAGTTTCGAGGACTTGCTTGTGTAAAACTATTCTAGTTTGCATAAGACTTTGGATCTTAAGTATTAAATGAGCTAAAACAAATGCGGAGACTGGAAAGGGACCAAGAAAGAACATATCAAATAGTAAGTCAATGAAAGTGGTTTTGGTATAGGATCAATGTTATAAAAGTTCAGGTGCTTCAAATATACGGTTTAAATCTCTTAGCTCGAAAGTGGTCAAGTTAAAGGATATTGCACTTGAATATATTCCCCTTGGTGTTGTTTACATGTCAACACCACATAAATTGGATCTTGTCTTGTGTGGATAGTGGATTCGAGGGTTAGAAACCCACTTTATTTGAGATCAAGAAATATCTTATTCTATTGTCACGTCTCTGACTTGATACAAAATAAATATATACAAATAATGAAGATGGAGTGGAGGTTTATATGATTGATACTGCAACTTAGTGTTGCAAAGTGGAGAAACTGACTTTCTATTTCATATTAAGATAATATCAAAAACTCCACTAAAGCTGATCTCAGTTATTGTTCTTCTAAGAGTCGTTTCTTACTTGAATTTATATGTGGCAGTTCCGTTCGTTCTCATAGTGGTGATATTTATTATAGTTTTAGATATTTGTGGAATGGTTTGAAATTTTGAGTTGAGAAAATCATTCAAAGCGATAAGAGTTAAACTTCCATAGAGTAAATCCATCAAAATTTCTTTGCGAACCATGATTAAAAGATATAAAGATTGAGCCTCTAATTTTCTTCAGTTGAAGATATTTTATTGATTTAAACTTTTTCTGGATTGGAGTAGACAATCGAATTATGAAAGTGAAGACTTTGAGAACTGTTTGAGAGCATGAATCTATATCATGAGAGTTCAGTGGTAAAGGTAATGAAAGAGAAATTCTTATTGGATTGATTATTCCTTAATCACCAATAATTATATGATCTATTGGATAAATTGAATGGAATGTTGTTAAATGTGATGAGGCTTGAGATAATACAGTCCAATTTACATATTTGCTTTTGGAAAGAGTATTGGTTAACTAGAACGTATCAGTCAATGGAGTTCTCTCTAAATTAGTACCTTCAAAATTGTATAAGTCATGAAGATAACCAAATATGCGTTATCTTAGACTCATAATCGACTATATAAATTCTTAATAATGAGTTTGGGAACACGAGTCTATTAAGAACGAGATGTATCTTGAGATATATATGACAATCCAAAAAAGGTGCTTAACTGAGATTGTCGATAGACATTGTGTCACAAGATGTGACATTTGACATTTTTTTAGTATGGGAGAAAATTTTGGAAAATATTGTTGAAATTAATATTATGTGTATTGGTGAATCAATTTTGAATACATATGAGTTGTTTTAAACTTTTGATTCAAGTAGGAGTAATATGTCTCCGAGTTAAAGTGATCTGCTTCCGAGTGGGAACTATCACAAGACTATCTAATTTCTATGGTTCGAGTGAAAAACTAAGAGCTATTTAATTCCATTGATTCTTAGTTTAGAA